GATAGGCATTTTGTGCAGTTTAAGGAGGAAAAACTCATTCAATTAGGGCATTTTTTTTCTGGAGAGAAACAGAAATTTCGTTTATCACAAAGATTTTGGTCGCCGACGGGTTACGTAGCCACGTGACCATAACATTACGTGTGACAAATCACGCTATGATTTGATTTTGAAAATTAACGAAACTGCATAACTTCAGCTGGCTGGATAGACTTCTTCCATCAAGAATCTAAAGTAAAGGTAAGCGTCTTATTTACCGGGAACAGATAAAACGGTAAATGACTAATTGTTTTTGTTGTGCCTCAAACGTTTTTAAACATCCTGATTATTACAATAATTGAAATTCACTCTGAAATTGCGGAAAGAACTTCAAATTCTACGTTGCCTTTCTTGTACATGTTTTGTATCCCGGGGTAGTGATATTTATTTTCATTATTTAGAGAGCTTGGATCAACTTTTGATCTAGAGAATTCTATTAAAAACATTGTTTACTGTTCAGTGCAGGTAGTTACAAGACGACGGCGCCCTCCATTTGATTGTGGTAATCAGTAACATGCAAGATAATCCCTGTTAATATATCTTTTTCGATTCAAAAGTACTTAAAGAAGCTTAATTACTTTCTTTTAGAGGCCGGCGACGAATTCAAGTGTCAAAAGAGGCAATTTCATGGAACTTTTAATCCGTACAATCATGACATCTGACACGGCCAGTAATTATGCAAATACGCAAAATGGCAGTTTATAATCTACTTTTTGGTTGCAATCCCAGAAGATACCCACAAGTCTGAGCCTATAAACCAAAAAAATAAGCTTAAAACTTTAATTTGATATGATTTTTAAACCAGATTTAGGCCGCAACTTTTGAGATATTTTCCCTCAAATCTTCCTTACTTTCAGGGTTTGGATTAAGCCTGCAAAATAGGTATTCCTTGAACCACTGTAACTTGAACACGTTTTGATCAAAGATATTTTTATTTAGCCTGTGAACTATCGAAGGTTGACTAAAAAAACTGAATCGAACAGATTTTTTGTGCGGGCATTCGTTTGTTTGCAACGCGCTTTTCAAAATCCATCAATTTTAGTCTTTGAAACACTCTCTCAGAAGCCGAGACGGATTCAATTCGTTTTTGGCTTGTAGCAGAGCTAAGAATAAGAATTTGAAAACAAAAAAAGCGATTTTAGTATATACCTACTAAAGCCTCTTCACCGACAAAAAATAAAGGAAAAGTATTTTTTGTCGCGAAATCGAGTGGACCGCTTTTAGGGAGACTGCCTCTTAAATCGCTCACCAACTTTTATATTTTTCAAACCGCTCTCAAGAGTGGTTTAGGACCCTGCTTGAGTGTGTTCGAGATGGTAACAGAATTCACACTGGAATGTGATTGATAATTTTAATTTCCTGTCCACCCTAATCCGGGTATCAAAATGTATGCGGTTGCAAAAATGTCCGGATTTGTGTAGACTAGGCATTGTATTATTTTTTTTAGATGCAGTAAATAGAGGTTAATGTGCACGATTACTTATAACCAGTGGATGCGTAATTCAACCTGACTCTTCCCGCGATCTTGATGCGAAGTCGTTCACCATTGGTATGGATTGAAAATAAATTTGTGATGGCAAACCAGTTTACTTAGTCAGTAATTCGACTATTTGGGGGTTTTCCTCAGCGCTTAGAGATTTTTCTTTCCAACTTTTGAACGTATTGAAATGGTAACGGAACAAGCAATTTATTGCTTATGATTGCTATTTAGGTTTTATGCAAAAACCCACTTTAAATAAAATTAAACAGGAAAAAATTCAATTTAAATAATGTTTGGAAAAGTCAGTTAGTTTCAGAGAAGAACAACTTATCAAGCAAGAACTCGATAGTTACCCAATCACGAAATCATGACACGTTTGTTGAGTATTCTAGTCTTTAAAAGGAATCGCTAATAAAGTCTTTTCTGTTAATTTTCGGCGGGAATGTCTTATAATTACACACTCCACAAGCGCAAACTGTGAACGACGTTAATTACAATAACAAACTGCGTACTCTTCGATTACATCAGTAGACCGCGAGCGGTCGTCCTTCTTTCCTCAGAGCCAGGAGCAGCGAGCGAAAAAGTAAAACTACGCCAATTAATGGGAAAAAGGAGGAGCTTATTTTTTCTTCGCTCGGTCTTCCTCCCTCGTTCCTAGCGGCCTCGCCGCTCGCCCTTCACGCGTGCTTTTGAGGTGTGACGCAAAAGAAAAACATCAGCTACAAGCAAAAGGTTCGTTTTTGCTCTTCCAGGCAATCCTTACGGTATAGACATACTCGCGTCACGCACCACTCACACGCGTCACACACTCTATATTAATGAGATATAAATTAACTCTTATTCCTAATAAGACCCCTACCTCGATAAAATATAGTTACTAACTTCTCAGTTTTGTTTGGAGGATGCCGTATTTCGAAACAATCGTATGATTTTTGTTTTTCAATTTTAACGGTTTTTGGCGGGAAAATGTCGTCACAAGATTGACACTAAAATTCAAATTTCAACTAATGATTTAACAAATAAGTACTGAATTTTGAAAGAGCATGACAGGACAGAATCAGATGTAAAAAAACTTTTTGAAGGGTCAATTGATTTAAGAGATACAACATTCTGAAAGGCGCTTTTGTTTCTAAAAATAGCAACAAAATGGCGGGAAATTCAAAAATCAAAGCTCAATAATTTCTTAGCCAAATGAGCTTTTAGAAAAATTTTTTAACATTTGAGTCATCTCGTCATGCTCTTTCAAGATGACCTTTTTGTTGTATCATCATTTGAAATTTAAATTTTGCTGTCAATCTTCTGACCCCATTTCCCGCCACAAACCGTTAAAATCGAGAAACAAAAATCATACGATTGTTTCAAATATAAAGTTCTACCATCCTGCAAACTTTGAGCTCAAACGGATAAAAACTGCGACTGTTATTCCTAGAGTGTCGTTTCATGCGTTCCGCTGGCCTGGCGTGTAAACGCCCTTGTACGCTGTTAAAATTGTATTAGACGCCCCTCTCAAATAAACTCCCTCTGTCTAATAGACGCCCCCTATGAGAATTAAACAAAAATACCAGGACTAGCAAAAAGAAGAAAAATCAATCAGTTCATTCAGTTTCTTACCGGATTAACAAGGCTTTGCGTATTTCACCTTAGTCAAGTTTACAGTGGGAATAGACTAACGATGGCAACACAATAACGCTGAGCGAGGATTCTGACATCGATGATGGGATTTAACAGAGGATATGGATCTCTAGACGGCCTAGACGAATAAGAAAATAAGCGCATCCTATCTATTAAACGCCCCTGCTTGGAACACTAAAATTAAATAAACGTCCCGGACGCTATTACGGTCATTAACGGTATTCTCTTCCGCTTCGGCAACCCACTAGCCTGTTTCAGGCTCTCAGATAGTGAGGAAGACTCGAAAGAAAAAGTCACACGAAAAGTTGGTGGGGCGGGAACCATGCTCTCCCCAGTTTCTTCCCGTTTTATTTTCGCATTTGCGCTTTTTCAAAAGAGTACTAAATTGATGACGTCCTAAAAACAAAATTTGTGAAATTATAGGATTTCTCAAGATATTCTGAAAGAACAACGTCCAAGACGCCTACTTGCCAAAACTTGGCATTTCGGAGCAAATTGTCCCTGACATATTAGCCCAGTTAGGCTCTGATGACTACATTCAAATCCTTCTAAATTTGCCTTGGGTCTAAACGTTTAGACCGAAGTCAAATTTTGTTGTATGGAGTCATCAGAGCCTAACTGGGCTAATATCTCAGAGTCAATTTGCCCCACAATGCTAGTTTTTGGCAAGTAGGCCTTTTGGTTGTTGTTCTTTCAGAGTATCCTGACAAATCCCATAATTTCACTAAATTAATTTTTTTTATGACATCACACTTTAGTACTCTATTCAGCGTACCCGACTATCTCGGAGCCTGGAACAGGCAACCTAGCTACCGCCCCATATTATGTGTAATCAACTTTACCTATTTATTGATTTATGACTATTCAGGTAGATCTGTTTACCAAGTTGGATTGGAAAAAGCCTTTGATCTGTTGAAGGCTTCTGCTGTTGGTGAATCTGACAAAACTAAGAGGAGAATTATTTTATTCCTCACGGATGGCGAACCAACAGATGATAGACGTTTGATCTTTCAAACGATAAGAGACAAGAACTTGGAGCTTAACAACTCAGTCATAATTTTTACGTTTGGAATTGATACACATAATCCTGAAATCCTCACAGACATTGCTAATCAAAATACAACAAAATATGGCTCTCCCCGAAATGTGTCCGTTGGAGATATAACGGTAAAGTACATGTAGACCAGCTTTTTACATTTGCAAGGCAATTCGCTTACGTCTAAGGCAGCTTCCTTGTCAAATCTGAGACGCCTTCAGTAACTTTTTCGGTTTTAACGCGGCGGCTTCAAAACTTAAATGAAACCTAGCTTCGCTTGCTGACGGCCGGCGAGTGCCTCGTAATGATCCCAGAAACAATTGCGGGTTGAATTTCAGCTCCGTTCCCTTCTCGTTCCTAAAGTGACGATGAGAAAAGTCGATTTGACCCGCGATAAACATAATTTTGCAAAATTAGAGCATTAGAGATCCTACTTAAGAGAATCTCTTGACTGATGTATTATGCAAGGGCGAGAGCAACCTATCGTCATGGACCTAGTGTCCTATCTAGAAAGTAGAAGTTTCTCGTCAAAGGTTTAAGGTTTTTACGAGCTCCAAAGCATTTAGTTTATTTTTACACTAGTCCCGTTCGTAATTAATCGTCTTAAGATGGTTCAGTTCAAAAACCTTATACTTTTGGTCTTACTAGCTTTCCTTAAAGGGTTTGCTAATATTTAATTAGGTGCCAGAAAATCCTCAATCTGTAAGTCACAGCTTTTTGTCTGCTTTTCCTTATTAGCATGGACAGTACACTGCAGTAACGGAAGATATTAACTCGCTGCCAACGAAGATGGTATCGTACTATAATTATCTTCCTCGAGCGCGGCTGGATCAACCAGTAGTGACCGTCCCGTATGTTGATGGATTTGGAACAGGTATTGTTTGTCTCTTAACACTCCCCGATCACCCCTCCCCCACCACCACAACGTTAATTAGCTAACTGCCATCGAAAAGCCCCGGGTAGGCGCAAGACTGCGAGGCGGCAGCCTTATAGAGCCGCGCGCGATTGTTTCAGAGGCAGAAAAAATCTCGAACCGATGTAACATATAGTAATGTAAGGCAACATTTATGACGTAATGCAGAACAGAGAATGCATTGTTTCCAAGCGAACACGTGATACATATCAGAGCATCCACGAGCCGTGTGCGTGTTTGTGAGCCCTGTGCTCATCCCGTCTTCAACTAATCGTCTGGTGGATATTCATATTGACCACTAAAATACCATAACATACCATAATGCTCTTTATTTGTCACCCCCAAATTTTGTATTAGCATTGTTTTCAGTTTCTCTTGGGACCATTTTAACTCCCAAGAGAAACTGAAGACAATGCTTATGCAAAATTTTGGGGTGACAAATAAAGAGTATTATGGTATGTTATTGTATTTTCTGGATTGGTCAATTGCATCATACGCAATAGCTGTCGCATTTGCCCGCTGGAATTTTTTATTGCATGTCTGCCGCTAAGAAAAAACAACGCCGTAAAATTGATTGTGTCTTTGAAGTAAAATAATTTGGAAGGCTTCATCGGCGTACCAAAAATCTTATTTATCTTTAACAAGAGACCAAATATAAATCGGTACGTTGGTTGATCGGTTCGCGGAGTTGAATACGATTTTTCGAGGATTCTAAATTGGCTTATAGGACCACTAAATTTTACGCCAAATGACATGTGCGCAACTCGGACAAAAACACGAACTTCAATATCTCGAAAAATTTGCTAAATAAAGTCAGGACTTAAAATTCTTTATGCAGTAGAACGGTTTAGTTCACTTTTTTCAGAAGACAAACTTAAAGCAAGGGACACACATACACCAATCCATGCTCCGCCTTCCCTGCGCACGTCGAGGGAGAACTGCCGTGCGGTTCCCAGCCAACAGCTCCCACATGTGTTGTGTGGACCTGGCGCTTAAAGGAATGCTTTGCACTCGCCCCGTGTGTAGAGGGTTTTCCCCGTTCATTCACACTACGGCTATGCCATGTTGATGAGCCCCGATAAATGCCAAACAAACGTCCGTGGCTGCCACTACCCTAGTGATATGGCCGGCGCATGCGTGAGTTGGTGTGCACCCCTTGCTTGCACTATTTTCAAGGTAATTTTCACTTATGCAATCGAACAAGTTCAATTTTTTTTATAAATTTCTGTAATTCATAACATTTCTGAAAAAAATTGAATAGCGCGCGCATATACGTAAAATCTTTGCTCGTTAGCACTTAGCGATAGCTATGACTAGTTAATAGGGTGAAAGATACTTCTTACTGTTGGCGCAAAATGTAAGCTTTTATATCAAATTTATATTTTCACATGTTATAGTACAAAATCGTCGTAGAAACGTTTCTAAGATGGCTTCTTCGAGGTTAAAGGATGTTTCGGAGGACGATATTACCTCCTTGCGAAAAGACCCTCGAATAGTCTTCGCGGTATTTTTAAAAATACATTTAAACCTGAGGTCTTGGTTTTGTTGGAGTAGCTTTTTGGAACTCGACGGGTGCACAACTTTCAATAGGTTACATTTTGTTCTTATTGACCAATTTATACGTGGCACTAACTTATTCCGTCACAATGTATGAACAAACAACAAAAGATTGCGCACCGTCAGGAAGTTGCATGAAGATAAATCGTAGATACTCTAGTTTCTTGGCCATCTTAGCTTAAGAAGAAGCCAAAAAAAAAAAATAGAAAAGCAAACTGCGGTGATAAACATAAGAAAATATAAACGCATTTTGGAAAGAAATAAAACTTTAACTAGACGTTTCGTATGTTCCAACAATACCTGAGCCGCGAAACTTGATGCCCTTTTCAAGGAGACGCGAAAATAATACCCCGCAAAATACTGTCCCGCCAAAATCGCGAAGTTAAGTACCTGCAAAATTAACTGTACCAATAAGGTGCTTGGTGGCGGGGACATGTAAAGATGTGTGATCGGTGAATAAAAGAGCTTGAGGAATTTTTTTTCTCTTGTGATCAGGTCTTCTGATGTCAATCACTCTTCCATGCTACGATAAAACGGGAAACTTCGTAGGCGTAGTAGGGACAGATATCAACCTGGAGGACCTTCAATCTGACACCATGTTCTTTAATCAGGATCAGACGACCTACACCTTTATGATCGATAAAACAGGAAGGACCTTAATTCATCCTCTTCTCCCAACACCTTCTGGAGCGTATGATGCCCCTTTTTTCATAGACATTAGGACCCTGGAATCTGATTCGAAGTTTCTTGAGGTGTTTGCTTCTATGACAAGGTATGTATGCATTTACCTTCGTTGTAGCTATTCGCTGTTTTTTTCTATGTGTCAGTGGCCTTAACCCATGAACA